TTTTGTACCTGGTGGTTAGGGTACAGAAAAAGTAATGTTAGGGTCAGGGGACAGAAAATGAAATAATTATTTTAATGTATAGAGCAGCAGGAACTCTGAGAGGCTGCAGGCGCATCAGTGAGTTTGCTGCTGCTGCGCAGGGGGAGGGGGGAGAGGGCTGAAGCAGGGGGAGGGGGGAGAGGGCTGAAGCAAGATGCGGAAACTACCGTTGCTAAAAGAGACGTGTTTAACTTTGAAAATGTGGGCGCAATTTTAATTGTCAAAAACTCCAGCGAACCAACGATTGGTCACCCATCGTCAATTTTAGCCGCTTCAGGTGTATGACGTCATCAACGACTAGTCGAAGTCGACTCGATTTTCATTACTTGACGGTCGACTTTAGCCCCTACTGGTCAGTTTGTTTCAGTTTGTGCGTTTTTTTAAAATATGATGCAGACTTTTGTGTTTCTGTCGAAGTGTTAAAATAACAGAAGAGTGAAACAGTCACTGATATATCGGAGGAAATCAGTGTTCAAATTTAACACAGAAGCAAAATTTACCGGAATGCTGCAAAGATGTAGAAAATGGCTGTTTTACAAACTAACAATGAAAAATGCCCAAAATTATTTAAAGGTGTGGATTACTCATTTTAATCAATACATTTCCAGTGGTCGTAGTAGGAAAGATCGCCTTGCAGGCAGAACTCAGGGTTAGGGTTAGGGTTAATAACAGCTGAGACAGTCCCTTGTGTGTGTGTGTGTGTGTGTGTGTGTGTGGGGTGGGGGGTGGGGGGGGGAGAGACAGAGGACAGGAGAACGTGCAGCTAATTAATTAAATAATTTGGTTCTGTACCTTTCTCTTCAGCACAGCCGACAAAGGTTTATGATGGGTCAGTCCTCCTGCATGCTCAGATCATTCCCTTCCCTTGCTTGAAAAATTGTTCCAAAATGAAAGTTGAACCCACATCTTTTTTATCTGTGAATTCAATGCCGTTCGGCGAGTCTCAAATAAAAATGTGGGCGTCTTACTGTAAAAATATATACCATTAATGTAAAAAAGAAACTCTAAATAAATTATGTTCACATCCAGAATCGAACCCAGGTCTCCTACATGAGAGTCCGATGTCTTTCTAGGTGAGCTAAAGCGCCAGAGACATCCTTGGTATCTGTAACACTTTATATCCTTGATGACAGCTGAAACAACGTTCAAAGAACGGTTCGGAGCGTAATTGGGTATTTTGTTGCTAATTTGCAGGAATTATCTAGAAGAAAGTTCTACAGAAAGTAGCTAAAGGTCCTCAGAAATGTAGCTAGGTTCATCACTAGGCGTTAGGAACAGCGGCAAAGTGGCTGAGTTGGCACTACCTCTCTCTCTCTGCTGCTAAATCTACGGATAGCAAATGCTACGGGCGATGCCTGAGCGTGAACGCGCATGAAGCAGCCTGCTCGACCCGAGCATCTCTCTTTTTCTGTGATTTTACAGAAAAACAGGTAATCACAGTAAAAATGCCAGGGCTCATTCTACAGGACCAGGGCATTGCAGGAGAATGTATGAAGAAGACATTTATTATTTCTATACATGTTTTGGCTGTCAAACTTCCATAATGCCCCTTTAAGTTAAATGTTTTGGATACGTACCGTTATTTTAATAAAAATGAATAAAGGTGCAATGCAGTACATCGCCACAGGCTAAACTCTCCCCGAGTTACCACAAAGACCAATTTGGTGTGCCACCCCAAAATTTTCTTTGGCCCCATCTGGCATTTTCTGGAGGCGCCCCTGCCCTACAGGAACACTTTTGTGGTTAGATTTGCCTTGAAAGGAAGCTAAAATGCTCACACACACACACACACACACACACACACACACACACACACACACACACACACACACACACACACACACACACACACACACACACACACACACACACACACTTGCTGCGTAATCTAACAAATTGCATGTAACAAGATGAAATTCCTCCTTCAATAATCATAAAACAGGGTTTTTTCTTCACGGCGTTGCTGAAGATGAAAACAACCTGAAATCTCACCTAAAATAACAGTAAAACATCTAAAATCGTCTATATTAGTGATTCTGATGCTGTCTCTTTAAAATGACCAGCTGACCACAGTAGTTTTATCTCAACGCTCCTGGAATAAAAGCTGGCTGAAGCAAGAAAAAGAGAAATTTAAAAGGGAAGCTTTGCTTTCTCAACATAACGAGATAACGAGTTGTTCTTGAGCAACATCCAGTTTCATTCATCATCACTTAGAAGCTATCACAAACAGCAATAACGAATTTATCTTGTTGGATGTTGGAAACAGTCCTGACCTCTGATTAAAATCGCCTTTCTTAGTTGCTTGAAGATGATTTTGTTATTTGAACAAAATGAGCTTTTCTGAGACAAAATAATGAAAGTGCTCCAACTCATAATCTTACATAAACATGCTCCGTAATCCCACGAGAAACACACGAACGTGAGGTTAAAACATGAATGACTGATGGATTAACTGATAACT